AGCTCACATCTGTTGATATAAATGCTTCTGTGCTTTCTTCCTTTCCCACTATGATCCGACATCTGCAGATGGGAGGAGGTTTGTTAGCATCAGCTACGGCCATGTGAAGGCTTCTTCATATAAAGCAAACGAATGAGAGGAAAAAAAATTAACAAGAGTTTCTGAGCACTGGGGAACAAAATTATCCTTTTTCTCATTGATTTTGAGACACTGTGACCTAGTTTTTAGAGAGGGAGGTTGAAAGGTGTTATATGATGAAGGGACGTGCTCCAAACATTTTCCTGCTCCTTCACTCACTAACTTTGTCTCGCTTGCTGGCAAGAACAACTCACAGTTGCCCAAGCTGCAGCCTTCATCCTTCTTCTTGGCACTTAACAGCTCTTCATGGGCTTCTCCCACATAAATTGCTCTACGTCGCCTTTCGGACACATCTATTCTTTTAATCAACATAACATCCCCTATGGAAGAGACTTGCCTTGTTTAATTGTTTGCAGAAAAAGAACTTGGGTTTCAAGCTTTCCAGCCGTAATTTCATCTGATGCCCTCAGCTCCTGAACTATAAGGAGGAGCAATCACATTCAGCTTTCACCTGCTCCAGGCCAGTCCCCGTCCTGCCCACAGCCATCATTCTGCATCCAACATTTAATTTAACGTGCTATATTGCCATTACACTACTATTTAGTTTCCCGTTATCATGACACCATCCGTATTTCTTTGCAGGCAGCTTTTACTTTGATGACCCCAGATAGATTTAATACCATCAGCAAAGGACACTTGCTTATGACCCATTCCCTGCACTGCAACATTTCAGTGAATACACAAATTTCTGGGGAATTGTAATTCTGGCCACTACTTCCTATCTTCCAGCCAGAAATGAATCCAAAGGAGGACTGGTCCCACTGTATTCTGCAGTAGCATACCTTTGAAAATTTCTTTTTTCCTTTTTCTTTTTGGCATCGTATTTGCCCCCTGGAAAGCATGTGGCAGACCAGTATCAAGCTCTCTAAGAAAAATCCTCCTTAAAAGCAGTCAGTCAGCTGGAAAGCTGTCTAGCATCGTGGTGAGCTGAATGCAAAGACCCACGAAGAATCCTCTAGACCACACTTATCATTAAGGGACAAAGTCAGAGAAAACGAAACCTCTGTTCAAATAAATCCCTTCTCCTTCAACCTGGGCTACAAACCATTAGTAGTCAAGATAGTAGGTAGTCAAGGTAGTCAAGTCCTACAGGTGCTCTGATCACCACGTGCACTTGATGTTCCTTCACCATCAGGAAAATATTCACCAGTATCAAGTGACTGGAGCCCACACAAACTTCTTACAGGACCAGGGGTGCCTCTCCACAACCTTCTCAACTTGTAAGAAAAAGATAAAAGAGAGACTGATTAGTGCTCAGAGATGAGCAGTGTTCTGCCAGCCCAGCAGTCTCCAAGAAGGGAGAGTCTAAATAAAGCTCCATCACTCAAAAAAGCTATATGGCCACCTTGCAGCCTGAAAATGGCCTGCCAAACAACGGCAGAAAAACATCCCTTAAGCTCTCTTGCTAGAACAATTCGAAATAATTTCATTATACCATAACAAGCACTCAATCTCCCCAGCAGTATTCACATGCTGGAACTTCTCAGATTTACATTACACTTCCCCTTGCACGAAAATTCTTTGTAACTGATGTTTTACTCTGGGCTCTGCTTCTTTAAAATCCTTTCTTCTGTTTTCCTTTAAAAAAAAATACAATAATCTCAAAAATGTCTTGTCATTCTCTTTGGTGCAGAAAATAATTTGGTTTCCTGGTTTCCATCTGCTACTGAAAGGCGTGCTCTGTGGCCCTAGCTAAGATCCCACTGTAGGGCTTCTTCCAACAGTTTCCCATAGCAAATCAAATCAAGAGCAACTTGTCTCACAGAACTGGCACGCTAACAAAGACTGCAGTTTTCTCTCCATTTCTTCAATAAACATACCACGTTGCTAAGCCAGCTTTCTTGACAAATCTCACACTTTGAAAGACAGTAGAAAACAGGGTTGAAAGGACCTCGGGAGATGACTGTACGTCTCCCCTACCCCAAAGGAGATGGTCTACGCTTAAACCCATCCAGAGCACGTACAAGTGCAAAGCATTTCATAAGCTACAGCCACTCGTTCTGTACTGTAACCTCATCCTCCCTACAAATACATGGCTGGGCTGTATATATTAATTAGAAATGCATCCCAAAAGCAGTGAAGACCGTGTTTTCAGAAGTACACAAATAGTCGGCACTGTATCCCGAGGCAACTGGGGAAGGAAAACCAAGCAAAACAACAGAAATCTATTTTTGTGCAAGATCTGTCACGTAGTTGATTACTAGTAAATCACTGGTTTTTAAAAAGCTTTTCCTAGAAAACATGAAAATTATCTGTTAGGATTGGTAAAACTGTTCAAAAGGCAGGAAACGTTTTACTTAGTATTTCAGGGACTGTGGAGACAAGCAACCAGCAAGTTAACTGCAAACGCTATCTTTATTACGAGCGTATCACTAATACCAGCACTGTGGCGTTTCCTGCCTTGATTTAGGGTTTAATGCAAGACTTCTGGGACCGCGCGAGGCTCAGGCACTGTCTCTACTTGTTACCATTCAGTCTTCATTTGCAAATGATAATTTTTGCTTTGAATGGCATGCCTGACTGCAGGGCAGAGTAAATCCAAACCTTTTAAACTCCAGCCAAAAATTTGCCATGAATTAGGAGACTGCAGCATATTTACAATACAAAATAAAATATCTCTACGAGTGCTCAGCAGTGGCGGTATGAATAAACGCCGATTCTTCTTTTTTTTTTTTCTTCTTGACGGGATAATTTTCAAAGCAGTGATTTTGCAAAGACTCAGGAAGAAAACAATTTTGTTTCATTTCCATAACAGAATCCAGACCTCTAAATTCAACCTCACGAGCTACAATTATGCATAAGAACTACCACTGTGAATTTTCAAGCACAATGCCTTTTATTGTCTCTTCTCATTCTTTTCCCTTCCTGTTCTCCGAGATTTTCTGTACTGTCACCCTCCACAGAAACTTTAGAGCAGAAAGTCTGACTTGAAAGGAAAACTCTCAAGTTTTCAGGCTTCAAAGCAAAACAACAAGGCAAACCTTCAACACAAGGTATTTGAATGGTATTTGGGGTTTTTTCAGCCTTATGGGAACAAACGACGACGACGAAAAGTGTTTTTATTACATGGAATCTTGACAGATGAAAACTAATATTCAGTTTTTCCGTGACGGATGGAGGGGTATTTTAGTCACCTCCTTCAGAATTCATGCGTGATTGTCCTGGAGCTCCAGAAACGAGAGGTGCCAAATACTGAAGACCGCAATTCTCTTTGTGCTGCGGAACCTGCGAGACATCTCATTTGAGGACAGTAATGTAGCCCAGACACAAATACAGCAACTTGCTATTTACAGGAACTTCCCCGATACTGTCCTTCGACATCACTGTTTTATTAATATGTTTTCCACCTGCACTGGGAGGCAGGCAGCTCCGAAGCACAAATACTGGAGATGAAACACCTACGTAGCACGAGCAGCATGAAAAGCACATCTTGCTTTCTATGTCAGAAAGCGTTTTTGGATTCAAGGGTTGCTTTCAAATGTAGTAACCTCCAAGCCATTAAACAACACTGCCCGGGAAACGAGGTTTCTCCTCCTAAAAGCCAGAGACAAAACATGCCCATGAATGTCACACACGCTTCGGCTCTCCAAAATAGTTTAAAAATCTTCACGCTGCTTTTGAAGAAAGGCACGTGAGGCTGTTGCTGCAACCCCGCACCCCAGGCAGACCCTGTTTATGGGTAACATCTGGCTGCAATTACCCACTTGATGGAATGCAAAGCAACAATTTTTGTTACCAATGGGACCGGGAGAACAAACAGGACATTATTTACACATTAAAGAGAGTACTCACCCCGACACCACCGCAAGGAAGCCTGACAAACATCGACGTTAGAGAACCTGTAGGAAAAAAAAACCACGTACCCTGTAAGTCAAAAAGTCAAAGTTCACCAGATTTTGGTCCAATTTTATGGCAATGCTGTAATCTTTCCAAACACAGTAACAGACCGGGGTTTTCTTGCAATTTTCAGAAAACACACAGCCAACCCTCTTACACTACAATACAGACATGCACACTTGGGCTTCTTCAAAAGACTTTCCAATATAAAAACCTTCTATAAATCACTTATTTTTATGCAAGGTTTGTGTGCTGTCCCACATTTCAAGCAGTCACGCTGACAATAAATGACTAAGATGCTAGCAACAACCACTCACTGTGTCTTCTCAGATGAACATTTTAACCCCTTTCAGTTGAAAGAGCATAGGAAATCATAAAAATGATTTCATTAATGATAATGATCTGATGATAATAATGATCATTATCAGTCATCTGCACAGTTACTAGAAGACTTTGGAGCGCATGAGCTTCATAAAAGAGGAAGACAAAAAAATAAACCGACGGTGAGCAAACAGAACATATGTTTTGACTGAAAGAGCAAACCCAACATTAAGAATTTGAGAAAAATGGAGAAGACCACCTGCAGGGCTAATTTTGCATCTGTAAGAATTGTAACATCACTTTCTGGGCTTGCATATGAGCAAATTATCCTCCACTCAAAATTCTGCAGGTTTATAAACCATCTACTGAAATAAGAACACGCTGTCTCGTATCCATCACCACCCTACGCGCATGACTTGTACACGTGTCTGCGCACCAAAGGCAAACAGAGGGAAGGAAATACGTGCATGCAGACACTGTAAAAGATCTGGAATACATTGCCTGAGATTCATTTGCTTGAGATCTATTTAAAATTAACGAAAGCTAACGGTGAAATAAACTGGGTTGAAGGTTTGTTGCTTTTTTTTTTCCTTCATCAAACCAGGTTCTTGTTCTGGTTGTGCCTATACTGAAAGAATAAATTCCCTTAAATGCTAACTACCAGCTTTGTAGAGCATGAATCAGCCATGATAGCAGACAGACGTTACTGAGGACCATGCTGGTGTCAAACGCATCGCAGACACATACGTTACCCCAGTGACTGAAAGCGGAGTTAATGCATCTATATTATTAATCTGAGTGCACAGCGAGATTCACTCTTTGATTAGATCCACATGGAAGTTCTTAGATCATCCTGCCTCGGTCCTCCTGACACATCTTTCACTGCTAATCCACCCATTATTTTGATATTTATCTTCTTGACAACAAGCTACGATTACCCTCCACAAATTAAAAGCAGCCTCATTTGCCTAAGTTTAAACTTGTTCAACAGGCTCCAAAGCTTTACACTGTCAAATGAGAGATGGATCTGCATTTTTCATCCTCAGATGGGGCTCTAGCAACACTTCCAGGGGTACAGTTGTGCAACTTGCCTTGAAGGCCACCACCTTCAAACCCGCCTGATAAAACCCAGCAGAGGAAACCTTTGTGATGCTCAGGGTTCTCTGGGGAAAGCAACGGTGGTGGGCTTCCGTTGCAAGTCTCTTCTACACGCATAAAGAAGGGCACTCTTTGAGAAAGGAGTAAGACTCAGAAGTAATGAGCTACGGGACAACTGCAGAAGTACAAGTGATCATCAGAGCCACAACGACGCCCGCTTACAATTCTGAAAAACCAGAACAGTTTCCCCCCTTCCGGCTTTCTCCTGAAGAACTGCCAGATGAAGGGACATCCCCCTTATCATTTGCAAAAGCTTACAAAGAACATCCCGTGTTTTCACCCCCAGCTTTACAAGCTCTTCCTTTTAGGCTGAGGGTTCTCAGGCTTTTTCTTCCTCACAGACATATCAAAGGCAAGGAGTTTACACAGCATCAGCCACCGGAGTCGTACACACGTCAAGACACTCAGGTCTAACGGATTTACATTTGCATACGTGAGCCTCACACAAAGCTTTGGTCTCAGACTTCAAACCTGCCATACATTTACCCTCTAACATATTTAAAAGAACCCCACAAAGCTGTCTGGTAAATTTAAAAGCCTTTTAAACTCTCAACAGGAGAGGATGGCTGAAGAAGGGGCTTGTTCACCTCTATACACAAATGCGCACGCCGAGGTTCTTCAGGGAGGTTTTCCCAACACATCAGTGGCTGTTACCCAGCTCTGTGGAAGCCTTTAAGTTAAGAAACTGGTTTTAGGCCCAGCATCACCCTTCCTGCCCTGCTCCCACAGGAGAACTTCTCCCTGGGTGCAACGTAGACATGCCAGCCAGGCTCCTTCCTCTCGTCAATTTGGCTCGCCGTGCTGTCCCTCTGGATCCCCGGCTGTCAAGCTGTCAACTTATTTTCTCCTGCCTGGTGGGATGACTGGCAGCCACGCTGAACACTGAGGCTATTTGCTCGTCCTCCAAGTGCAGTGCGTGGCGTGAGCGTCAGTGCCAGCTGCGGCCCATGCACAGCTCCACGTGCGACAGGAGGACAGCTGGGCGGTGGGAAGAGGCAGTCCACCGCTGCCTGGGCAAAGACGGTCATGCGAACTGGCAGAGAGTCCCACTGCTAGCAGCTCAAGACTAAAATGGTGCGAAGTGGGTTTAGGAAACAAGGTCTAACCTCAGCTAAGAGCTGCTGGAAAGCCCTTCCCACTGGAGATCCTGGGGACCTGACCTTCTGCCTATGGCCGAAGCTCCCTGACAATTCGGTCGTCTTTACAAATCATACCCAAATAGGCAACATTTCGTACTGGAATACCCTCAGGTATTAGAATTATTTCTCTTCGCTACAGGAATAAACTTGATCTCTACAGACATTTTAAAATGAGTGATTAAAGACACGGGACACACACCGCAAAACTACATAAGTACTCACAAGGCAAAGCAAGAGTTTCTCCTCCTTCAGGTTCTCTAAACAAACCATCAGGAATGATTCAGCAAAACCTGGGTATCCCCAAATCCAATACTACCCAAATAAACTGTTTGCATCTCCAAATGTTTCTGTGGAAGTACTGACACAGATTGTGCCAAGAGTCAAAGAGGGAGCGGGAAAATATCTCAAGAGGATCCGACATGTGAACGAGCAGGAAACACTCAGTGTTATCACAGCGCAACCCTAAAAATGTCTCTTGCAAGGGGTGTCTCCGACAGCAGAGGAGGTCAGGGTGACCCGCTGCCCGCTCAGCGGATGATGACCGCTGCCAGACGCAGGGTGCCAGCCCTGCCTGCTCCAGGCTGGTGAAAGCCAACGGGTCAGATGCTGGAGGACTGCCCAGATCCCACCCCAACAGACGGTCAGGACACACGCCCTCACACACCTTCAGCGCTACGGTTCAAGAGCTCGCAGAGAAATCAGTCAGCACGTAGGCAGTGTAACTGCAAATGAGGAGCCGCCTTCTCAGATCTACCGGGGAAGATTTACACACCATTTCTTTGGACTGGCGCACACAACTTACGCAAGGCGAGAGTTTTACACCACCAAGGATATGACATCACAGATTCTTTAAAGTTTACACACTAATTGCACTATCATTCAGCCAAGAGGTGTCTACTTTTCATTTCTCTGGGTTTTAAAGAGGTAGTAAGTTAGCTATAAATACAGTGCTAATTGCATGTTTAAACAACTGGCTAATAGCTTTCCTCTTTGGGGATCTAATGTACATACTGAATGTGCTGCAAAATCTTTCCAGCTCTTCTGCTGCAACTACTACATCATGCAGGCCATCAAGTTAATCCTCTTTTTACATCATCCAAAGTCAAACTAATGCCAAAATAAACTTTCTCAAGTTATAGGTTCCAGAATCATCTTCTTGCTGACCCCCAAGTGAGAACTTCCCAAACTGCCCCTCCCTCCAGCCCTGTCATCTATTGCTGCAAAAAGGCACAAAGTAAAGGGAGAAGATGATGTCTCCACAGAGGTAAGGTGCTAAAATCAGTGCAGCTTGGTTGCTATGGGGGGTTGCTTATCTGAACAACCACCCCCTAGTTTGTTTTCAGCAAAAATGTCTAGATTTTATGGCAGATGTAGCCCATTTCAGAAGATCCAGTCTCCAGTGAAAAGGATAAACAATCTTACTCCAAATTAAACAAACGTAAGACTATCTAAGAGGCTCCTGCATCTTTCTTGCAGATTGACCATGCAAACCTGACAGCTATTTGTTGGTGTCTACGCAGCCAGTTGGTGCTGCAGATCCAGGTCCTTAGTAGGGTGTTCCAGTTCCTACCTAGCAATGGATAACTTTCCAACATGCAGAGAGGAGTGTCCAAGGATAAAACAGACTCTGAATTATCCTTCCTCCTCAGAAAGGGTCCTTTTAGGTTTTGAAGACATCAAAGAAAGAAGTTTCAGCCACCTCGGGTTTAGGGATCTACCTGAAGAAAGGGAGAGATATCTTGCACCGCTCTCAAGCAGACATCGAACAGAGGTGGGAAGAATCCTCTTGGGAACTGCCTAGAGCTGAGGACGGAGGGAGCCCCACGTCCCCCCTTTCATACGGCTACTGCTAAGTGTTTGCCAGAGCCAGGGCTGGGGACGGCAGTGGGAGTGCTGGAGGTCAGGAAGGGGACCCCCCCGCCACAGGGAACGATACCTAGAAGTTTCTTGCTGTCCAGTTTCTGTCTGTTCAGAGGGTTTGTGCCGTACAGCAGCGTATGGGCTTCCGAGTGAACTGTCTGCAGCTCTTCTAGAGTTGCTTTTCTTCCACGAATGCACTACGAGAGGAAAGAAAAGGAGTGATGAAATCGCTGATTAACTCTCATTAAAGAACTTTTATTTTTTCATAGCAAATCATAAAGACAGTGAGCAAAAAACTAAAATGGGTTCTTACGTGGAAAAATTAATTGTAAGACAGATTTTGGTTTAATCCCTTATTAAAATACTCGCTTGACATATGAAGCCATCTTTAGATATTTTTATGTTTGTTTCAAAAATACTTACCACAGATCATTTACTAAATTACACAGGTATTGCTCGACTACTGAATAGCCAGGATTTCAGTTATAAGCCATTAGAAAGTGCGTCTCCAGTAAAACTGTGTCCCTCCAAACCACCCTCTGACATCTCCACCGTGATTATTAAGCTAACCTAAAAAATAAATAACCTAAAAAATTAAGCTAACCCAGGAACACTGCTTTCCAAATGGAACCTTGGAGCAATTAAGTGTCAGTTACAGACTTTCTGATCTAAAACCCATCTTGGAAATCCCACAAGATTCAAATTTGCAACAATTGCAAATTGTTTTCTTATACCATGATGCACGTTGAGCTGGAAGTACTGCACCAAATACGCTCAGCCCTGCTTTTGTTGCCAGCTGAAACCCAGAAGGGCAGATGCAGACCGAAGTCAAAAAACCCCGGGTTCATTGAAGATCACGGCAAAGCTTTTACCGATGTCAGCAGGACCTAACTTCACTTCATTTTACAAATTGGGAATCTTTTCCTCTTTTTTTTGTAAGTATCCAGCTACCTTTGGGGCTTATCTTTTGGTGGCATCACCCATTTGCGCTGGAAAATGTGCTCGTAAGAATGAAGTGCTACTTGGAGATGCTAAATCTTGGGCGTACAAGGACCATGCCGTGGCCTCTCGCACAGGAGCGAGCGCTCCCCAGCAGGCAGACGGCGCCGGGGGGCTATCGGGTGTCCCAGAGAAGGCAACCAACTCCTGGCAGTGGAAATAGCACCTCGCCTTTTTAACCGGGAGCTTGCGACTGCCTCCAAAATGTTGGCAGGGGAAATACGCAGCGAGTCAGGAAAGAGATGAGGTTGGGGATAAGTCGAGAGATGGCCATTGGAGAGAGGGGAAAGAGCTATTTAGAAAGAAGGATTGCTTTGCGTCAGAAAGATGTGTGTACCCCCGCCCCCAGAAAAAAAAAAGAAAGTAGTATTTTATATTGCTTAGAATTACTTTGTGATTTTTTTGTCATGATTTGGTCTAAAACACTTTAAAAGGACTTGTTATTCTGGGGCTTTGTTTCCTACAGAAGGAACAGCAGAAATATTCCTCTCTGCAATAGCAATAGAACGAGAGGAAATGGACTCAGGTTACGCCACAGAAGGTTTAGATTGGGTATTAGGAAAAAATTCTTTACTGAGAGAGTGGTCAAGCATTGGAACAGGCTGCCCAGGGCGGTGGTGGAGTCACCATCTCTGGAAGTGTTCAAAAAACGTGTGGACGTGGCACTTTGGGACATGGTTTAGTGGACATGGTGGTGTTGGGTTGACAGTTGGGCTTGATGACCTTAGAGGTCTTTTCCAACCTTAATGATTCTGTGATTCTGCAATACAAATAGTTAGCAGCAAAACACTGGAAAGCCCTGAAAGCCTCTCGTAGAGGTACTGGGGTCACCCAAGACACAAGCCTCAGCAACAAGCATCCCGCTGCGCAGCCCACGCAGGATCGCATGCACCTCCTGCGCAGCCTTCACCTTGGCTTTGTTGAAGCCAGTTAAAAGAATAGACTTGCAAATGGAAAACTTGTTCCAACGAGAAGGTCAAACTGTGCCACTCGCTCCTGCGAGCTGCCACCGCTGCGTGCCGCTTGCTTTGCGGGAGACTGCGAGAGACAAGATGCTTCAAAGGCATCGGCACTTCCAGCCACGCAAGCTCCCGCTTTCCCCCCGCGCCGCCATCTCGGGCTGCATCCCGGGGCGCAGCGCGCCGGGGGCACGGGGACTCCGGGGCCTCCACCTCTGAAGCACAGTCCGCAGAGCAAACTCGAGGGATTTTTTATTTTTTTTTTTTTTGGCCTCAAACCTTCAGCACCAGCCTCCATCGTGCGTTGCAAGGCGCAAGGGAAATCACTTTGTAAAACCGTCTGAGCAGAAACCAAAGCACGGCAGGAGCGCTCGTGCGCTCTGCCTCTCCTAATTTTGGCATTTCTGCTCTCCAGTTCCTCTTTCATTTTCTCCGTGCTCTGCTCCACCACCTAGCATTTATTTCCTGAGGTTAGTGATGAAGCAGAAACATAGCGTCCCATTAAAAGAGGCAATAATCACAAAAATGCTAGCCCCAGAAGGGATGGAAATATCTGGCAAATCCTCCTTGAACTTTTATCCTGTCTTCCTTTTTTTTTTCACGGTAAGCCTGCCTCAGTCCCCCCTCAGAGGCTTTTATGGCTTCCCTCTAACCCATACGCCAACTCTTTTCCTTTGAACGAGACGTACTGACCCATTTTCAGCTGCTACTTTTAGGGGACGAACAGAAATAGCATTTTGTGTTTCTCGGCGTTACGTGAAGACGCCAGGAGAACGGCAGCCCAACGCAGTGACAAGCCAGCTCCTCCGTGGATGCGAACGGCTTCAGCTCCCCGGGATGGGGAAGGGCTGCTCCTGGTTAAAGTAGGTGGCCCTACCAAGACATCCAAGCTCCATGCTCTTTAGGAGGGTATCAAAGCCACCCTTCCCTCTGCGTGACAACCATAACCAAATGGAGACTATGAGCATATGGAGAACTTCCTTCTGTGCTGCAAATACAACACATTCAAGGAAAAAGCTACCGTTTACTGAAACAAATATATATTACAAAAGTCATAGCAAACATTGCCTGGGTAGAAAGGATTATGCTCAAGAGGCTTTTGCACCTTTCATCTCCTAGCTCATGCGCCACAAGCTTTGTCCTTGGCTCTAACACAAAGACACCGAGAAAATGAAGTCAACCTCCCCTCCCCCCAATAAAGTTGGAGAACAAAACATATTCCTCACTCCCGTTTCCAGACCCATCACGACTTGTATCACAGTTCACGGCTCAGCCTGCTGTCCATGCTCCCGATTTGCGCAGTTCTTCACTTTCTGAGAGCTCTTAGGTCATGGTACTCTTATCTTTGAGGCTTCGCATTGCCTATCGAGCTTGCTCGCTCCGTACTACTCCCCCACTCTTGTCTAACCTCCTTCCTGGCTGCTAAACCCTGGCTTTTCAGCTCAGGAGGTGGCTTCTTAATCCCAATAAATTAGTTGGCTCTTTACCCTGTTTTCCTTGTGCCTCTTTCGGCATGAAACCTGACCTTTGCAGCACCACACCACCTCTCCTCTCCCACTGCTTTATACACATCCTTCTGCACTCTTCATCCACTTCCTTGGAGCTAGCATCTCCTTTGCATTTCGAATAAAGAAAAAAACAAAACCCAACAAACCAAAACATGCTAGTCTTTTAGTTTGTATTTTATTAACCCTTTCACCCTACGGTGTTTCAAAAGGAGCGGGTATGAACCTTGAGAGCCAGGTCTTGTTCCAACTGCAGCCCCCAGGAAGCCACAAAAAGCCACGAAAACAGCTATAAAGATTCTCTCCAGAGACTGACCTCCCAGCAGCACCACCACCACCTCCCGCGCGCCCGCGGTGCTTTGCGACGGGAAACCTTGGGCACGGAGCAGCTCTCCGGATGCTTTGCCACCCGGACCCATCCTGCCCTCCAACTGGACACGCGGCCGATACCGTGCCAGGAACGCCGCGGACACGGCTCTGCTCTTACAGTCGGCCCAGCCCTGGGTCTGGTTTTTCATCTCGGTCCTCCGCAGCTGCGATGAACCTTCAGCTAACAGTCCTCACGCTTTAAGCAACGCAGGACTGCTGCCAGGATGTGCTTAGAGACGGACCCTGGTTGAGGAACTCGTTCTTCCCCACCCTGGTCGGGCAGCCCGGGGATTTGATTACCTCCGAAATACACCGCACAACCTATCGATTTCCGCACGCTCTTGATGAGGGCTGGGAGGATTATTCTAACCGTGATTGCGGGTTTTTGGTTGGGGGGCAGAGTCTTTTATTGAGCTTGCCTCAATTAGTATAATTGTTGCTTTTAAATTCTGAACGTACACCAGAGTAATTGCCGTATTTTATAAAGCTAACTTCATTAAACAAGCAATACCTAAACCGCAGCTGTCGTTACGCTCGGACAACTGCTTTCACTCCAAAGGGTCATCTTTAAACTCGTGCAACGCTGCCAGGCTCTTACCTATCGCACCGCAAATCTGGCGCACATTTTCCCCTCAGCTGGACATAAAGCGGTTTTTGGACAACTTTAGCAAATACAGATCTGTTTCACTGCTGAAAAATGAGAGGTGTCGGGGGGGGAAGCGATGCGGTTTCTTCTGTTCTAAAAATATTTGTGCCCCTTCTGGATCACTTCTATTGCCTCCGAGAGAAATGGTAGGAACTCAGCACTTGGCAGGTTGTCTAGGAGCCTCTCGGCTGCCTGATGAAAACAGGTTTTCACTTAGTTCGTTTCTGAAATTTCAAAGCAAGCATTTGTTTGCATGCATGATAAAAATGTTTATCTGCGAGCCCTGTTCTGGCTTGGGGCATGTGCGCAACAGAAACACCAGAAGAACATTTCCAGGAGACAGACACTGGGAATTGTTTGAGCTTGCATGAGAAAGCAGAGCTGGGATCTATTTTGAGCGTGCAGTTGTGGAGTGGGGAATGAGAGCTGTTAAACTCCTTCTGGAAGAGGACAGGGATCCAGCGGAGTCTCGTCTGATCCCGCACAGTGTGCATGGGATTATTTACTACGCAGGGCGCCGTGTTTTTAATCCGTGTCGAGCAACTACTTGCAAGCAACAGAATCAAACTATACCCACAGCCGGACCACAGCAAAGGGTGGTTAAGGAAGGAAGGGGAAACGTGAGGATAAGGAAATGTCAAAGTTCAAACTGTCCTTTTACAAATACGAGTTGTAAGAAATGGATTAAACCACACAATCACAAACAATTTTCACTTGGCTTTACTTAACTGGCTCATAACATCTGAGGCACAGGACAACAGACCTGCAACAGCGAAGATAAAAATGAGCATGCACAGATGTGGCAGTCAGCAGGACCAGCTAAAAAAACCCCAAAAATGTAGAATAAAACAGGAGGTCAGCAAAATATTAAGTGTACAGGCTGGCAGGTTTCTGAGTGCTATAATCCAGGTGTTGCTGCTGACTTCCTGTAGACCTACTACTAATTCTGAAAACATTCACAGAATCACAGAATCATTAAGGTCGGAGAAGACCTTCAAGATCATCAATCCCAACCGTCAACGCAACACCACCATGCCCACTAAACCATGTCCCAAAGTGCCACGTCCACACATTTTTGAACACCTCCAGTGATGGTGACTCCACCACCTCCCTGGGCAGCCTGTTCCAACCCTTGACCGCTCTCTCCGTAAAGAAATTTTTCCTAATATCGAGTCTAAACCTCCCCTGGCGCAACTTGAGGCCATTTCCTCTCGTCCTATCGCTGTTCACCTCTTTCTGAGTACCTGTAGGGCTGCTAAGCAGATGGAGCAGTTATAATCCATAAAAAAGTGTAGATACATAACAGGCTGCATTGGTAGTAAGTGTCACCATCCTCATATAAAGAGTTCTGTTAAAGTTTCGCACATCGTGCACTGCTGTGGGCGGGGATAGAGGGCACAGCTCATGCTGTCCTGCACGGAGCGTTGGCACAGGCAACAGGGATTTGAAAAAGTAATATAATTATTAAAAGTAATCATAATTATTAGGCCAGACTTCAAAATTCCTTTTAAATCGATCATATAATGGACTATGTCCCATGGAAAGAAGCTTTCCACATGTTAAGTCTCCAGCATTCCTGTCCTTGTGGTAAGGAGACAGGTCCATCGTCCCAGACAATGCCAACAGCTCACGTCTGTGCTCCAACCTAGGAGCAGAGATCACTCTAAAAAGCTGTCCCCTTGCCATGCAAGTGCACCTGATGTGGAGGTCATCTTCGCTGAAGGAAAACCCTGTATGGTCCTCCACTATGCTCGCTGCTAGACAGGTTCAAACTGAGGAGCTTCAGAAAGACTCTGAAGGGCAAGGAAGTGACCAAATGGCTTTGCAACGCAGTAAAGAATTCCATCAGTCAAGGACAGCAGAAGGGGAATGAGTGGCTTCCAGAAAAAACCCTATCAAGAGTGAAGTGAGGAGGTAGGAAAGAGATGGAGAGACAGGGAAAGGCTGTGCCCATCAAGCCCATGAGAAAAGTTAAGATAAAGAAGGAAACTTTAACACAGGTCTGGGCAGGAGTAGGAGATCGTGAGGGTAAAGGAAAGCTAATTAGAGAGAGAAGGAAGTGCAATTAGAGCAGCTGGTTAGCCTGAAACGGCAGGGCAGACCTTGAAGAAAGCTGTCAGAGAAGAAAACACCAGAACTGATGCAAGAAGCCAACATCACTTATTTATCATTTTCAAAAAAAGGAATAGTCAAGATGAGGTCGAATTTCACCAATGGTCAGAAGAGAAAAACAAGTGGAAAGCAGGTTAACATCAAGAACAAATCCAGTTGCGAGAGCGACCAAAAATACCAAATTAAGGAGCGTAACAGTTGCCTGGGAACATACAGTGAAGAACTTCACACATTAGAGAACATCTGTAACAAATCTAGGCAACGAGGCAATTAGCACTCCTGCTTCTAAACAGAGGAACTAGATAGCAGTGTTTACCTGGTTGGGGTTTTTCTTCCCGCAAATAATAATCCCAAAATTCAATTAAATAGGTCTCCATAGGGAGAAACAGGTTTGAAGTTCTTCCTCCTTGCTCTCCTTAGGGATGATGAAGGGTCTGACGGGGAACTTTAGCCAATGGCAATGCTGCCACCGCGTGGATGTCTTTTCCGATCGCTCAGAAAATATTTCTAGCCAGATGCTGACATAACTCAAATAGACTGTGTGATTCAGTCCCTTCAGATGCTCAAAGAACTGATGAATGCACACTACCATTAATCTATCATCACTGCGATTAGTTATGAATAATAATTGTTAATCACCATTATTAATCATTAGTCTTCTTATTTCAGTATCTAAGCTTTTACCTTAGTTTGCCTTGCTCTTAATACATGTATGTCCGATGCAATTAGTTTAACCTCTTGTGATGGAATAGTGCTTAGTTACATCCTCCTACCCTCATTCTTTTTACCGTATCTTCACTACAGGTTGTCCATTACTTATCAAAGAGTATTAAAAAAGTTATTAAACCACAGAAATACAAACTTGTTGCTCCACAGCTTTTGTTGTTACGACTGGAGTGTAAAAATAAGACAGTTACTTCATATCTTGCTCTTATCTTTGGCTGCTTCAAAATCCAGCGCTTGGTAGGGATGTTGTAGGATATTCCCCTAGAGGGAATAGGACCAAAAATTACAAAAGCAGCTTCACTGCAGCATCGGGCAAGAGCATTCTCCAACGTTTCATGAAATTTCTAACAGTCGTCGCGATGCAATGAAACCAGATCGCTAGGGAAGTACTCCTGACAGACACACACACGCAAGCACAAGTGGTCGTCTAGGAATGGATTAAATTTAGGCCACATATGGCAAAACATTGCCAACAGCTGGAGCTATAAAAAGCTCAAGCCAGTATAAAGTTTGCACATTCAGGTAGCAACCAACAGCGTGAGCGGCAGGTTCGGTACGTACGCTATCGTCCAGATGAGAAATCAGCCCCGCCAAAATGTTCACAATCCAGCAGGCAAATCATCCGGAGAAATCCAAATTCTCCCTTTCTGCCAGGCCCACCACCTCATCTCCCCCTTCGCTGGTATTTTTATTACCTCACACTTGCCACGGAGACCCGTCTCCTGGAGCCGGGACCAGATGCTCTGGATCCTCCCCGCGTGCTCTGGGTGGCTGTTTGTGTTTCCACAGGTACACTGGTGTTTCAGCATCAAGGTGTCATATACAAGGCCTGCAGCAGAGGTTACAAAATCGCTCTCAGTTAAAGGAAAAAAAAAAAAAAAAAAGCCAGATACATGAAAAAAAGAGCCCCCTATTTTTTTCTTTTTTACAACAGTACTTTATATTCAACTGAACATTTCTAAACAAAACCTGTGTGTTTTACCAGGAGCCACAGAGCTCTAAGAAACGAAAAATCCAAGATGCTGCTTTGAGACAGCACCAAGCCTGCAACGATCCCTTCCTCTGGAAATCCTCAACGGACGCGGTAAAGAAATTAGTCACCGACATCTCTGCAGGCGGAAGCTGTGAGAGTGACAGAGGGAGGTGACAACTGCAAGTGCCAGCATGAGTACAGAGGTGCCCGCGCAGGACCGTGGTCGAGGAGGGGACTGACTGACAACTTTTCCGCTGGGTACTTTCATACTTGCTAAAACGACTCTAGGGTTTGGGATTAAAAACCAGAAGGAACGAGTCGTTAGCAGGCACTATGCGTCATAAAATAGCTTGTGCTGAAGTCTTTGCAGCAACATTATTTGACAACATGCTAATTAAGGCTATTAGCACACGCTTGGGCATAATTATTCAACACGATATGTAGGTATTTAGCAGTGTTGTTTCATTTGAAGGTGGGAGTCAGGCAGCTAAATCCCCTTGCATTACCAAGTATTTATGGCATGACAACAGCGTAGGAGACACTGATTCATGCTCCAGAGTTGCCCGGGTACGTTTTTGGAAGGGGAGTTATGATTTCATAGCCAATGTTCCACTGGAGGAAAACAGCAGGTCCTCCACAGCTATGCAGTCCCAGGGACAAAAGACCTTTTTTTTTTCCACTCAAGCAAAAGAGACATAGTCAAAAGTTTAAATCTACCCTCCCCTTCAGCCAGAAGCTCCAGAAAACAGAACAAAAGCGGTTGGGTTTTGTTTTTCCCCAGGGAGTAAGGTTTCTTGCGAGAAATATCTGTCTGAAAGCACAGTGTAAAGTTGCAAATCAAAGGTCTTGACCAGAATCCAAAGCCTTTGAATTAGCAGCGAAGGCAGGAGCTATTCCCAGATCCTGACGTTAAAGGGTCTGCGCTCCCACCGCGATCGCTCCTCCGAAACCCCAGACGAGCACACCTACGCCGCGGCGGGCGCTGTGAAAGCAGCTCACGAGCGTACCGGAGCTGGCTTTCATGTTGCCAGGTCAGGTACCGATAAACACCACAATTTGCAACTGCACCAGAGTTCAAAGGGGCTTCTAAGAAACCAGACTCTGAGCACACACGTGGACACGCAGCCTGGAGCTGAGCGCCGTGCTGCTGCATGTACCCCAGCTTGGCTCGAGCTGCAATCATGCCTTTTGCCTGAGCGTAGGCATGTTCTGCCACTGAAAAATTTGGCTTTCCCCTCCGAGGCAAACCCTGGCACTGACACTTCCAGGTATTCAGCCTCGGGGAAGGTATCTGGCAGTTCCTCGCTCTGCTTAGGTGAGCGCGAAGAAAAAAAACCCAACGAACAACTAAACCCAAACCGCATTTGGTTCTAGGAAGGGAACAGAGCGCCAGTTAATTGCCTGCCTTTGGGTTAGCCAAAGTTCAGTTAAATAAGATCGTGCTGCAAAGCTCTGTAGAGGTCTCCCATGTTTGCTTCACAGCATCTGACTTCGTTACGAGCTGCTGGGCAAAGCCAAGGACTCAGTAACGCCACCTGAGAAGAAGCTGCAGCCTGACGGTACGGCTGGCTGTCCAAGGGAACACCCCATGAGCTCATTCAAACTAGTGCAAGACCTGCAGTAACCTCGCCTCAGGTTAATTTATTTTTGAAGGAAACACATCTTCAGGGGACATCATGCATTTTGACGAAGTATTTGTTGCCAAGAAGAAGCCCGTGTAAATGTCCTCCTAGACCCTTTGGGACTGCACTAGGTTTGGCTAAATCATTCATATTAAAGAAAGGAAAGCGGTTCTGCCTTCTCTGACTTCCAGACATATCTACAGGGTCTACAACCAGGCTTTATAGACTTAAAGCCAAAAGGTGCATGCATATCTATTTAAAATATATATTCATAGTCAACAGTTAGCCTTGAATTCAAACCAGAAGTACAAGCAGCAAGTCATTCTTCAGGTAGCTCCTGACCTGCCTGGGTGCAACCCTGGCTCCCTTCAGTCCGTGGGCACTGCTGTTGGGTGTCAGCAGGGCCAGGACTGCACCCTCTGAGAGCACCGGCCCTTGAGACCAAGGACTAAAAGACAGGGAGAACGAGGTATTTTGGCAATGGCCAAAGAGAAGGGCAATGGGAAAGCACTGGCAAGAGAGTGCATCAGGGAGTTCGCTGATGGAAATGGGAAGAGTAAAGTAGCAAAGCTTGAAGAAGCAGCTGCACCTCATTTGTAAAGGTCACTCCAACCTGGAGACAAAGCTGAGGGCAGTTCATACAATACCTTCATCAGTTTGTGGAAAAACCCAAGCATTTCCAAGCAGTGTATTTCTCGCTCGCCTCCTGGATTCCCAGACGATGCTTAATGCTGTTGGTCTAACAGATCCTTGTGCTACTTGGGAGCTGGGCACAACCTGGCAGCGAATTACACTGACCGCACTGCCAAGTTGGAAGTGGTCTGAGGCCATTTCAATAGTCACCAAGTTTCTTTTTAAAGGACTTTTTCCCCAGGTCTTTAACCTTTAAATGTTAACTTCTGAAAAACTGTCACGATGCAGCTCTAGGTACACAGGGAAAGCAATGTCTAGCCAGATTAAAAGTCTCCATCTTGTTCTCTATTTTGTACCTGGGTAACCCTAGAGCCTGGTAAGGCGGAAGCCAACACAGCTCAAGCCAAAGATAAATGCAAATGAAAAAAACAAGTTTTTGCATTGACCTTACATTCTTCCGTTCCTCCCTTGTCTTCCTACAGCGCAGCAGATCTGCCAGGTATCTCCCAGGTGTTTTGGAGGAAGTTTGGTGTCAGCTCAGAAGCAGGCAGTGGCATTTATCAGCTCATCTTACTCGGTGCCAGCGAAGACAGCCGCACCAACGCAAGCAAACACAGATAGTTGTGGGCCAGATCCCCGGCCACCCAAACCAGCACCTCCTCACCTGCACCCCCAAGCGCCGGAGAGCTACACCTGTGTTTAAAAGATGCGTGCAGTTACCAGAACCCATCTCAAATGGGTTCTGGTAACTGCGCCTGTTCAACGTAAGTTGACAAAGGGGTTATAGAAAAGGTTTTCAGAAAACGTGGTGGTAAGACACCTACTCATCCCTATTTTTTAAGTGAACGGGGATGACAGCGGGGCTCATAGGATTTGGTCGCTATTAAGTTTTTCTCCTTTCCCAGTGATTCAATGGTAACAGCGGTGTCTCAATGAAGTGTCACTCAACATGTCTCTCTTAAAAAACTAAACCACTGGAAAGAAGGGAACTGTTCCAAGTTCCTTCCTGTGGCTGGAGACACTCAGATGAAGACACACACACACAAAGGAAAGCCTGGCAATTTAAGCTTAAAATACAAAACTACATCGGCCATTACAAGTTAAATTAAGTGGTGCTGGAAGCAATACTCTTTAAGACATGAGAACAATCATTTTTAAAGGTCAGCACTAAAGCATAACCAACTTGCTTTTCTTGGCAGAACAAACATATGATTTGAGGTTCAGATAATTATATTGCTCTGCACAGGAGAGAATAAATGCCTTCATCAGAAATGAAAAATACTTTAATGCAGAACATCAGAATCATTTGTGGAACCATTTTTACAGGAGATCAGAGACTGGATAATTGGAGCTACGCAAATTAATGGCCTAACCTGAGAAGTCTTATCCAAGTGTGTAGGACAGTGCATGCAGAAGCATTCATTAAAGTCAGGGGGGCTACTTGTGCTAGTGAGGGCAAGTTCAAGGGCTAGCCTTCTTGTATATGCTAGTACGAAGGAAAATCAAACCTCACGCTTCAGGACGTAAAACTGATTGCTTGGAGTCGGGAAGGGCACTGTTTTCACTTTCAGGTGGAGTAATGCACATCACGTTTGAGATGTGTATTATGTTGTTCTTGCCCTGTACCTTTGAAGTCTCAGGTATTGGTCAGTGATAGAGACAGGAAAATAAATTCTAGGTAAAACCCAGAATTTTAAGTTCTCTGGTCCTAACTCTGTCCAGAGAAAGCATTAGCGTTTTCTATGTACTATCCCCAACATGAAAGCAATGAACAATTCTTCGTCTGTTGGGCAATAACTGATGTCTTAAGAGCCACATTCGTGTCTGGAGTGATCGTGATTGGCTTCATTATGGCCACTGAATGAGGTTTGTTTTTTCCAGCCCTCTCAGAAAATGATCACAACAATTCAAATCTTAATTCCTCTGAAATCCAAAGCGCATAATCTTGTTAGGATCAGTCTGCAAAGCAGCCACTTATCAAACAGATGGATTTTCTTAGCGAAAAAGAAGCCTGATGCACTTCAGCACTGCTTGCTTTGAAAAATACCCAAGACTTTAATTTCCTGCCTTTCAAAGAATAGTTCAATCCTAGTGATTAAGCTTTAGTATCCACCTCCAAAAACACAATCTCCGACACACCGTGGACAACTTCAAGAAAACATTAGCGATCTAACTCGCACACACATGCTGAGCAGCTGAAATGCCTGCCTTCCCTCTCTGGGCTTGCATCATGCCCAGAGTAGTAGGCTCTTTTTTCCTGCTACTGTTAAGCAGATAGTGATGCTTAATTAAACGAGGCCTTCACCTTTTATGTGAGGTGAAGGACTAGTTATAGGACTAGTATAAATGTCTCACCTTTTATGCTTTGCACCTTTATTAGTGCCAGAGAATGCCCAGCACTTACTCCCTCGACAGCATTTTATTGTGTTTTTCCTCCTCCATTCACCTAGCACAAACGTAGAGAACTGCGCGAGATAGAAGGCAATGGAAAAATCAAGCCCTTGGAATCTCAACGCGGATAAATGCTGTGAAAAGGATATTTTACAGGTGAACTACACTAAGCGTTCTTCATATCATTGCACGGGATCGTGCAGTGCTATATAGAAGCGTTGTGATATTCCACCTCTTATTTCAAGCCACCTTTTTTTAAACGCTGCCTCCAAGAAAAGAAAGTCGTAACACTGTAACAGTGTCTTTTCAAAGCAGCACAGTTCTCAAAACCTGCATTCTCATCGTTACCTGTAATTTTAAATGAAATTTAGCGGTACATATCTGAGTCAAACTTACAGTAACGTTTCCTACCAGAGGATATATGTTCAAAGTCTTGTGTATGATTGACAAGGCAACTTAAATACCGGAGGAGGAGAAGGGAAGAAAGAGAAGGAATGAATAATCTCTTGAAGCAGGGCCAGGCTTCCTTGTTTTTAAAGCACCGAGATTTGGGTCTAAGTGTCTTAGATGCTCAAGTTTCATCTGGTTTGACCGTGAGCCAGGGGACTACCCTTCTTTGCATCCTTGGCAAAAGCTAAAATCTAGAATAATCTTGCTATAACTGGTTGCATTAGAAATGCAGTTTTGTTGAAATTCAAGGTTTCAGTATTAACAACAAATAGAGATTTAAACGGCTGATTTGCAAAAATGAGCTTTTACAGAGCAGATCGTACATGCTTCCCACTCTGCAGCTTGCAGCTGAAGAACAAAGTCGTATTTAACATACCACTATTACTCTACCATCAGTGCCTGAAAATAAACCCAATTCACAGTGCTGATTTTAATGATGCAAAAAGTGTGGGTTAAATAAGAATAAATGGGTAAGTGAAAGAGAAACAAAATCATGAGTTGCTCTTATTTGGGCGTTCTGGATTTTTTTTCCCTTTTCCCAGGGCACACATCACATTGCAAAATGTTCATTCACAAAATAGAGCTTGACATTTGGGGAAGAAGGCGGACTTCAAAGTAAGCCTGCCTAATCACCCGATGTAGGACTTGTAAGGTTGCACATAAATTAACTTTCAACTGTTACTAAGGCTACTGAATAGACAGAAAGGATTTTGGTGGAAAAAAGTTGGTTCGTTGTCAGGACTCAGGAAGAACAATTATTTTTTGCCTTTAATCTTTGTGGGGAGATTAACACCTATTTTGCACTTCTGGTTTTCACTAGACAAATGCAGAATCGCACTCATAATTTTCCTTCAAGACGACGACCCAACAGGTAAGAAAACACTCTTCAGCCTGTTTCTACACATCGACAACTTGAAATAATGAACTCGCCTCACTTTTCCTAACCTACGGGCACAGACTCCTGGGCAGAGATTGTGTTTCAGAAGGAGAGGTAGGCTGGCACAGAGCCCGGGGTGGATAACTTATGGCATGAGATTGCGCAGGGACTGGAGAAGGTGCAGAAAATACAGCCAACAGACACTGCATTTGGCATGCCGTCCTTTCTCAACAACATTGCCCGTCTCCGCCTTGCATCTCAATCAGCTCTGTCACAGCATCTGACCCGTCCTTTTTTTCTGGAGATACATAATTAAGGCACAGTGCTACGCTTCTATTGATTTTGGCAGGTTATTTTCTGTCTGGACTGTAGGGTGTCTGTCCCTCTGGGGAAGGGACAAGCAGGACAACAGGGCGTAAGACGACTGAATTTTATCCTCGATGAAGACAAGATGTTACAGAGTCCCCAAACGCAGCTGAGATGCAGACCCCAAACAGGTGGCTTTGCAGGGACAGGGCAGAAAAGCACCACATACGGCAAAACGGTAACCACAGCCCCACCGCTTCAGCCCCCAGCGCCCCAAACGTTACCTGTCGTGAACCTTGGCTTAGTGGGTGGCTCCTGTACGGACATCGGGAAGGTGGCCGAGGCGGGCGAGGACTGTGCACGGGACAGAGGCCGATGCCCTCCGAAAGAGACGGGCATGCCGGCCGCCTCCAGCGACGCCTGGTAGTTTCTCAGCTGGTGAATACGTTGCTGCTCCAACAGAAGGGCTTGCTGCAGGGAAAAGAAGCAGGTAGTTGCTGAAAGTCTGAGTGGTGCCTTCATAAAAGGGTTTTTAAGAATTTTTGAAGGTCGCAGGCTTGGACTCCTTTCCCCGATCAACGGGCACATGCACACGTGTGCGGCAAACGAAGACGTGCACATTCCTAGAGCGACGTCAGGCGGGGACAGCGTGTTCAAACCACAGCCCTGAAGCTGCTGCACGCTGGCGAGGTCCTTAGCAGAAGCAGCCCCATCCTCCCCTTGGGTCTGGCCCCGTCTTCCTCCCCCTGTGCCGCTCCACCGCAGGGTATTTACACCGCTGGGTATTCAACAGCGCGATGCGCCAGACCAGGGAACGAGACCAGCCCCGCCGGACCCCAGGCGGGAGAGGGAGCTTTGAGCCGCGCTGGTTCTCTGGACAGCCACACCATCAGCTGCACAGCCTCCGGGTCAGAAGGGATGGCTGTTCCAGCTTGTCACGTTGCAACCGCAGCCTAACAACCTTCCCATTTCCTCTATTTATCCCCTCTTCTCTTGAGAGGAATTATTTTGAGGAAAAATAATTGCAGAGGACATAACATTTTTAAGACTTCTCAGGTGTGATCATGCATCCAGGACTAAGGCAGCGGGGACTGCACTTTCAGAGGAATGGTATCACCGTGGTCCATCATCATCAGCGTGTTACATTTATTTACTTACTAAGGCACTGAGGCTCAGATGCGACTGTATAAATCAAGTAACACTTTGTACAAGCACGGCTGGCAACAGCATCGATCTTTCAAGGCAGTGCTGTTATGAAGATAACGCTGCTCAATAAGGAACCGAAAATGCAGTCTCTGAGCAACAGCCAGCGACCTTCGTGCGGGGCAGGCGAGCCGGCTGCGCAGTGCTGGGAAGACGGCAGCGAGATGCAAATAGCTACAGGGAGCAACCAATTTGCACCTGATTCACGGGCACCGCAACTGCAAACCTGGCACAAGTCCCCGCTTTCCCTAGCCAAGGGCTGTGGATTTACTCAGAGGGCTACACCCTGGCATGGCTACAGCAGTCTGCTCTTGGCGGCAGATCCTGTGCGGGGGTTACGCACGGCTGTAGGTACAGTCAGATGCTGCGTGCTAAGGGCTGCGAAGATGGGCAGAGCATTGACGCCTTAAGAGAACTGCAACCTTCTCACCTTCGTTACCGCTACCGCAACAGGCAGCTTTTGGGAGACTGCCAGGTAATTGGGAAGATTACACTATGCTACCTTGTTACTGGATTTATTACTTGCAATCCACAAGCCTGTGGCTCAAAAATGAGCACAGCTGCAACCTCTGGGATCTCCAGTTCTGAAGAAGGAACTCCCTCCAAGGGACCTCATCCTTCGTTCCCTTACCCAGCCCTTCTCTGGGACAGTCAATTTGTTTTAAAACATAAAATCCTCTGCTAGTATTTAGTGCTCAGACATGTTAAGACAGACTTTGTCTTCGCAACGGAACAAACGGAAAGTGGTTCAGTGGCTGCAAACACTTTGTGCGGGTGATCCAGATTCTCCTTCCTGGGACTTCTGAGTTGACAGGGTGACTCCAGGGAAGGATGGCACTGGTTTTAGCTGCAGGTTTCTTTACATAGCAAATACTCAAGAGCTGGTTCCCCCTATCTTCTCCCCCTCAGAGTAGCATAAGGTGACTACCAAGAACCAAAAATTTTCTACAAAGAACCAAGTCCCCAAACTTGGTATTTTGTGAGCTCACCTGACGGAAGAGCAGCTCCTGCTCAGCCTGCCTCTGCCCAGACTCCAGCTCCTGCTGTGGCTCTGCTTCCTCCTCATCACTCTCGATGGGTTCTTGCTTCACCTGCACCATGTTGGCCAGCCCTGGGGCCTCCTTTTGGCTTGTGACCCTGTCGCTGTATGGCTCCTCCAAAAGGGCTTGGTGTTCCCGTAGCTCTTCTTCTGTCTCCTCAGGGTGGCTTTCATGCTGGCGAGCTGGTTCATTGGGTTTTGATATAATCTGAAAACAACCCAGAGGATAACCAATGGATAAAATGTAACTCATCACAGGTAAAGTTCACTCTGTTCTCTTCAAAGAACCAGCTTCATGAAAAGAGAAATTGTGAATTACAGCTTTTATCGTATCAACTAGGTCCAAACCAACCACTCAAGGGAAAGGTCAGGTCAACCTTGACATTAAGCACTATGAAATCCTATGAAATGATGGCCCCTTCATTTTGTACTTGATTTTCCCTCTGAAGAAATAAGAGCCTCTTGTGCCTGCACCCACAGAGGAGAAGCATAACAACCATCAAGACATTCGGCAATTAAATTCTGAAAAAGAGAGAGACACAAACCCTCTAAGAGGGTTTCTGCTACCTTGTTTGCCCAGCTGCTTCTTGAATCACCCCCTGAATTTTATCTGTAAAGTGAGAGAAAGATTCCTCTGAAACTTGCACTCTAATGAAGTTTGTTAGGAGGAAACTGAGGACACTCAACTTACAGCATCTGTACAGAAGCAAGCTGCAAGAGCAGCATCATTCTAACCTGATCTTCCCAGCTAGAGGTAGTGAAGTTCTCCGAAAGCAGCTGCTAAAACAAAGGGAACAATATAATTTTCACTATAATTCACACAGGCTAAGACTTCTTGAAAGTTCATTGGCAAGATAAAATTCACAGTTCTCCGTCTCAGACTGCTTATGATTTTTATTTGGAACAAAAAAATAATAATATGTGAACTGTTTTTTAAATCCTGCATAGGTAAATAAATCAATTTCCTTTCTTTAAAAGAGCTCAGAGAACAGGCTGTTCCCATTTCACAGGCGTATAACAAAACTGCTGAACTTTGAAAGTTGTCAGGGCAGAGCTTTAATAAGGATTAGGTCATTGGTATGAAAAGCAATATTGATTTTAAATCTAATAAAGCTAAATCAAAACACAGTTATTGAACACATGCAGAAGGAGTGACTACTTGTAAGTAACTTGCTCTTTGAAGAACAGTGGCTCAAACCTGAAACTAAGCCTTTTTCCCTGAACGTAGGAAGAGGGGCTCTGCCATATAAGTTAAGCAAACCTATAGAAAGCAGATTTAGGCAAAGGTAATATAAGGGATTAATTGCCTGCAAATATCACAGCAAGGATGCCAAGACGTTGCTCGTAGCTACAAGCAGAGGATTTCAGATAATTGGAGCTCAAAGCTTTTAAAAAATGGAGCGTTGCAAGGACCGGGATGCAGGGCCATGGCTTTCCAGCACTTTGCGGATTACTGCGTTTCGGATGTCTCAACTCCCGAGAGGAGCAGGACACACAGAAGGGCATTATCTTGCCTAGAAGCTTAAGGCAAGACCCTCTGGGGTTCACGTGGCCCACCAGTACAGATGGGGCGTGCAGCCCATCCCTCTTTGTGACAAGAGCTGATATTTTTGTACTGATCAACAACTGGCTGCTGTTGGCAAGAGGGTTTTGATTTCTACAGCCATGGAACCGTCTTTGAGAGTCAACAGTTTCTTGGAAGAGATGGGATCCACCTGACTAAACAGGGGAAAAGTTTAGGCTGGTCAAACCGGTAGTCAGAGCTTTAAACGAGGAACAAGAGGGGAGGGAGTGGTTCCTCAACAAGCAGCTAAGGAAGCTGAGGAGCGGGTAGGCAGGCGGAGGGCCTGGGCTGGTGTGAGCAGAAAGGACACAACTATGAACAAAAAAGAGCTGAAGCAGCATCCCTTTGAGTGCAGGCATGTAAAGAAGGAGGTGCCTGAAAAACAGCCTGATGGGGAAGGTCTCAAGCCTGTCCTGGGGAATCTGCACGCTTGGGTGCCTTTCTGAGATGCCTCTACACTGCATGGAGCATGGGGCCTGAACAGGAGGACTAAAAGGCAGTGTGCAGTTGCAGGCCTATGACCTCCCTGGGATCATGGAGGTGTGGTGGGATAGCTCACATGACGGGAGTGCTGCGATGGAGGGACACAGGCTTTTTAGGAAGGACAGGCTGGGAATGTGAGGAGGGGAAGTTGCCTTTTTCGTG